TACTTTGGCCACCTCATGCAAAGAGTTGACTCATTGGAAAAGACCCTGATGCTGGGAGCGATTGGGGGCAGGAGGAGAAGGGGACGACAGAGGATGAGATGGCTGGATGGCATCACCAACTCGATGGGCATGAGTTTGAGTAAACTCTGGGAGTTGGTGATGGACAGGGAGGCCTGGCGTGCTGTGATTCATGGGGTGGCAAAGAGTTGGACACGACTGAGCGACTGAACTGAACTGAACTGAAGGAGCGGAGATTAAGTGGGGAACAGAAAAATGTTAAGGAATAATGGCTCAAAATCCTAAATTTGATGGTCTGTGAAGAGGGAGAGATTATACAGCAAGAACTCCCCTGGTGGCCCAGGGGTTGAGACGTCTCACTCCCAAAGCAGGGGCAGGTCCAGTCCCCGCCTGGGAACTAGAGCCCACAAGCCACGGCTAAGAGTTCACATGCGTCATCTAAGAGCAAAGCCAAATAAATAAATCAAAATAAAATTTGTGAAAAGAATGGCAGACTTTTTTGGGAAATAGTATGAGCTAATAAGATCAACATCCTTAAAATACCAAAATGAAGAAAGCATAACCGTTGGGACCTCCCTGGCGGTTCAGCGATTAAGACTGTGCTTCCAGTGTAGGGCGTGCAGGTTCAGTCCTTGGTTGCGGAACTAAGATCCCACGTGCATCGTGGTGCAGCCAAAAAAACAAAAAACTGTCAACCTGAAAAATTTGCATTCAGAGAAAATATCTTATCAGAGGCAAAGTAAATATTTATTAAAATATACAAAATCTGAAAGAGTCTGACTTTCACTTCAGGAAAGTTTCAAGAGCTTTTTCCAGCCGAAGGAAGATGATACCAGCAGAAATCTGGATCCGTACAAATAGTGAAGGGGACCAGTAAGAGGGGCCACGTGAGTAAGAGAGAGACTGAAGAATATGTAAAGCACTTGAAAAGGTACTTGCTGTTTAAAGCAGAGATAATAATATGGATCAGAAGACTCAGCATTATTATGATGTCAGTTCTTCCCAGATGGAGCAGTAGATTCAATGCGATTCAATCAAAGTCTTGGCGGGAGTGTTTCAGAAACTGATGAACTGAGCATAAAATTGATAGGGAAACGCAGAGACCCTAGAATAACCCAGAGCATCTTTGGAAAAGCAGAGCAGCGTCAGCAGGCGTGCTCGTCCTAACGTGCAGGCCTGGTGTAGAGGCACTGTGGTTAAGAACGGGCAGCCTGGACGTGGAGACACACACAGATGGAGGACCAGGACAGGGTCCATGAAGAGACCCGCACACTCGGGGCCGCGGCCTGGACCAGGTGCGGAGGCTCCTGCTGGGGGCAAAGTGGACAGGGGAGCAACCACGTGAGGGAAAGTGACCACCGGCCGCCCTTCATCCCGTGGACGGGAATCAATTCAACATGCACCCTAAACCAAAAATGTGAGAGCTCAAATGATAAATCAAACGTGTGAGAGCTCAAATGATAAAACTTCTGGAAAAAAACAGAGAAGAAAAAGAAGAGGAATCCCTGTGACCTGTTATCTCACAGCCTCTCACCTGGTGGGTGGCTCACCCGCTGCCTGACCAGCCCTCATGGGCCGGGGAGGGGTGGGGAATGGACCCCTTTGGAAACGGGTTAGCAGATTTGTGAAAGTTATGTGTACCTGTCTGCCCACCCACCCAGGAAACCCCAGGCCCGTGCCTCTCCACCTCCTGCAGCATGGCACCCTGTCCGACCCCAGCAGGGGTTAAATGAAAGGAATTGTTGTCCAGATTTCATAACAGAGCATTTGTCTGAAGTCAGTGTAGTTATTTAAAAGTTCTGTGTCCAGTGAAATTAACTATGAAAAGTAAAAACAAAAAAAATTTTTTCTGGCTTTCTGATTTAAATCTTTGCATCTTTTGGAAACATTTTAAGTTTTTCATATATATATATATTTATATTATCTAATTTTTATTTGTTGAATTTCTACCGAGTCCGTGAACTATAACTTAAAATGTTTTTTGACGTTAATGAATGTGATCGCTTTCATTAAAACTCTCCGCCTACACAACAACTACTGTGCCCACAGGACCCTGCGAGGCTGATTGAAGTCGAGTGCCTGGAGTATGAATTGGAAGCTGTAAGACTGGAAAATAAAATTAAAACCTATACCCGAGAGGCTGTGGAGGTAAGCTGTGGACCGGGGGCCTGAGCGGATGCCGGGACCTTGTGCAGGCCCCTGGACCCTGTGTGTGGACTTGGCGCCCGGTTTGAGGAGGGGCCCTGATGGGCATGGGCCAGCCTCCTGTGCCCCAGTCTCCCCTGTGAGTGTGGCATCTCTGGGAGGAAGCCCGGGGGCCGGGCGGCCCTGCCCTGCCGAGGCCAGCTGAAGTCTTCCCGCCTGGCCCCGGCCCCGGCTCTCCTGGGCCCACCCTGGCTGGAGGGCCCGTGGCTTCATGCAGCCTGTTCCCGGGGCAGCAGCTGGGGGCTGGGATGAGATGGGCCTCCAGCCAGGCCCTCGTGTGGCCTGTGTGGAACAGCCCACCCTCAGCACGCTGATAACATGTGTCCTTGGAGAACACCGAGTCCCCCGAGGGCTCTTGCCACCCTGACTCAGGTCCAGGCAAACAGGCATGCCCCTGCCCTAGTGCAGGGCCTGAGGGGCTCCAGGGAAGTGGTGAGGTCATCTCAGGCATGGGGAGATGGGGACCCCTGGGGGGGTAAGGGGAGACCCCTGGGAGGTTGGCAGGAGGGTGGGAAGGGAGGAGAAGAGGGGGCCCCGAGGCCTGGCAGAAGCAGGTTCAGAGGACCCTGGCGAGCGTTGCTCCCTTGGTGCCCACCTTGGAGACCATGGGCTTGTCTAGAATGTTCCTCTGGGGGTTGTGGGGGGTGCTGGTGAGCACGATGGCAACTTGACAGACAGCGTGAGCTCCGCAGCCTGTCTGCCCAGTGCAGAGAAGGAACCCAGCGATAGCTGTGTCTGTGCTAGAATCCTGATGTTGAGAAAGGGAACCAGAATGCATTGAAACAGGATGAGGGCAGCTGGCGTTGCTCTGGGGCCCCGGTGCCCACTCCCTGGACCGGCTCCCATGACCCCTGCCCTGGCCTGCCCGGCCTGGCCCGGGAGGAGCTCTGCCAGTGGATGAGCAGCCCAGTGGGGGCTCTGGGCCGGTTCACGCGCTCTCTTTGGGCCTGGGCTGTCCCCGCCAGCGCTGACCTCGAGGGAGGTCGTGGCTACCTGCTGGCTGCCTGCAGGTGCTGGCAGGCGGTGCGGTGGGGCCGCAGGGCTGTCTTCTGCCTCTGCCAGCCGAGGGCTCTTCAGGGGCACCGACCAGTTCACAAGGCTTTGACAGATGCTTCTTGGCAGCCAGGAGGCCCGCGGTCTGAACCCCAGACCTGCTCTAAACCCCGTGACCCGGGAGCAGCACTAGGGCAGGCCCCCTGGAGCCAGAAGTCAGGCCCCCAGACATGGCTGGGTTCAGGAGCCCGGGCAGCACCAGAGGGCACTGAGGCCGCTGCACAGGCTGAGGCTGGCCGGCCCCTATCTGCTGGGCAGGGCGCATGGAGCACAGGCTCCAAGAGCTGTTCTTCGGGCAGCGGCTGTTAACGGGCCACGGGCTTTGTGAGTACACGGGGCCGGGAGACAAGCAGCCTCGCGCATAGGGGTCACAGAGCAGACGCTGGCACGGCACGCAGTGCCCATCCGAGGGCAGATCCGACGGAGCCAGGGCCCTCTCCAAGAGATCACGCGGGCCACTTCTACCGGCAGACTCAGACTGGGGGCCCAGCCCACCTGCGTCATCCGGGGCTCGGGGGCAGGCTGGGGCTGCCCAGGCTGGCCAGCCTCACACTCGGGCGGCTGTGCTGTGTGCAGGCCCAGCTGGACATCGTGCAGAAACTGGACGTCACGCTGCAGCGGGCCGTGCGCCTGGGTGAGCCCCGGCTCGTCCACACCGTGTGCGCCACCCAGTGGAACACGTGCCTCCCGCTGCTGCAGCACAACCTGCGCCACCACCTGCGGAAGCCGCTGACCAACATCGCAGATGTCCTGGAGAAGGCGGACAGGTGGCGGCCTGTGCTGGCCCCGGGGTGGGGGGCGGGGGCGCGAGGCTCGGGGTAGGGATGGAGTCCAGCTCATCTTCCCAGAAAGAGGGCAGGAGCCCACGGCGTCGCCCAGAGGTGGCGGCTCGAGAGGCCGCCGGCCGTGGGGAGGTGCCCTGGGGCTCGAGCAGGGCCGTGCAGGGCAGACGGGGATGCCCAGGTGGCACCCGCCTGAGCTCGAGAGGGGCCGAGGGGAAAGGGCTTCGTCAGGAGGGTCCTGGGCTGCGTGGCGGGTGACGTGGTGGACACGGGCTGTGGGCGCAGGCGTGGGAGGGGAGGGGTGGGATGGGTGAGCAGGGAGGGCTCCGTGTTTCTCCTCTCCTGCCCGGGCAGGACGCCCCCGGGCGCTGGTGTGCTGCAGGATGGTCCCTGGCAGACACGGGGCCGCGAGATGGGGCTCGGCAGAGGAGAGGCGTGCAGGGTCACCTGGGAGGGCGTCCAGCTGCAGGGAGGGGCCGTGGGGGCAGCTGCCCCGCCCCCGTCTGCTTCGGAGATGAACTGTGCTGTGTGCTGAGTCGCTCAGCCATGTCCGACTCTGTGCGACCCCGTGGACCATAGCCAGGCTCCTCTGTCCATGGGATTCTCCAGGCGAGAATACTGGAGTGGGTTGCCATGCCCTCCTCCAGGGGATCTTCCCGACCCAGGGATTGAACTCAGGTCTCCCGAATTGCAGGTGGATTCTTTACTGTTTGAGCACCAGGGAAGCCCTGAGATTAATCAGGGGTGAATTTTGTCGCCATCGTGAGCCCTCCCTTGGAGCAGGGTTCCCGGCAGGGGAGCCAGGGACCTGGTCATCAGCCTGTGGTCTGGCGGCTGTCTGTAGCAGCACCCTTCATTTCCTGCGGGCACTTGGGTATCTCCTCTGTGAAGAGTTACATCTCTCTTCACATCTGGGATTTTTATTCAGAAGGAGAAACTATTTTTAAATGAGTAAAAATCCCAGATGTGAAGAGAGATGTAACTCTTCGCAGAGGAGATCCCCAAGTGCCTGCAGGAAATGAAGGGTGCTGGTTGTGTGATAGCTCCTCGCCCAGGCTCCCGGGCTCCCTGCAAAACTTCCACAGCCCCACCCCCTCATGTGACTCACACCAAATTCTGGAGATTTCATGCAGCCCATTAGTTCTCTTTTATTTTGCAAATTCTCTAATTTCTTCCTCTTTAGCCTATATTTTAAAATTTTAATGACATCCTCTTCCAAAAATATCTTATTGTCATATTTGTTTGGTTTTTCAAATAACACCTGGTTGCCCCCCTTGTTTTCTCTGACAGTTGTTTTTCTGATTAACTTTATTGTGATATAATTGCACACAACAGAATGAACACATTGTACGTGTCCACTTGCGGTGTTGTTTCTTAACCATGGAGGGCTGATGAATGCTTCTTCAACTATTGAGAGGAGCTCTGACTTTTCTCTTTTGATCTTTAATGTGGTAAATCATGCTGACTGGGTTTTGAGTAGTGAACCAACCTTGCCTTCCCTGCACGGTCTCGACACGCATGCTTTTTTCTGTATTGCCGGGTTCTTTGTCCCTTAGTGTGGTTAAGGGTTTTGCGTGTATATTCGTGAGGATGTTGGCCTGTGATTTCTTCTTTTGTAATGCTTTTGCCAGGATTTGACTTGAAGGTCATGCCGACTTCATTAAATGATTTGGGAAGGTGGGAAGGATTCTTTCTCCTTTGCTTTCTGAAGGAGTTTGTGCAATATTGGTGTTTTCTTCCTTAACTGTTGGACAGAATCCAGTGAGACTGTCTGAGCCCTCTGCGGTGTTTCTCTCTCCATCCTTCCAACTCTCATGCTGTGGACCTTTCGATTTAAAGCGTAGGACACAACTCTTAACATCATGTCTTGTCGACAGCATGCAGCTCGGTCTTTTTTTAAATTGCGTGTGGTCGTCTCTGCCTTGTGATTGGATTGTTTGGCCCCTTTGGGTTTAGTGTGACTTCCAGCTTGTCCGCAGTCTCATCATCTGTTTCCGCCTGACACTGTGTTCTGCTGCGGCTCTGTCCCTGCCTTCTGTGAGGCTGCTTGAAGTTCTGCCACTGTGGTTTTTCTTCGGTTGGTCGGCTCATCTGTCCACGGCACCCCTGGGGCGGGAGGGGCGTCACCATAGGGCTAACAGGGCATGTCCCCCTTCACCGGGTCACTGGGGGGAAAAGCCTGTCTGCCTGCCCGTCGTCCACCCCACTGTGTGGCTATTGCTTGTCTTTTACTTCTAAATGTGTTATATGTTCATCTTACAGTGCTGTATTGCTCTTAGCAGCTGGTGGTGTTGTTTTTAAAGAAAATTACAGAAAAAAACAGTCTCTTATGTTTGCCACTTCCTCGGCAATCCCGCAGGCTCTCCCTTCCTGCTTACCTTCAGATCCAGGTTTCTGCCTGTAGGTATTTCAGCCCAAGCGGCTTCCTTTATTTCTTCTTGTAACGCATGACTGCTGGTGAGGAATTCTCTTGGCTTTTGTTGACCTGAAAAATGGCTTTCACTTACCATCACCTCTGAAGGTTATTTTCACCAGTTATTGGATTCTGGGTTTGTGGATTTTTTTCTCTTTAAATACTTTGAAGATGTTGTTTTCTTCTGGCCTTAGTAGTTTCTGCTAAAAACCCAGGAGTTATTTTAAGCGTGGTTCTCCTGAATGTAATATGTCTTCCCGTCCCTTCTGTTTTCAGATTTGTGTCTCTTAACTTTTGCTTTCTGCATTTTGCATATTACTTTGCTGACAAAGGTCTGTCTAGTCAAAGCTATGGTTTTTCCAGTAGTCATGTATGAGAGTTGGGACTATAAAGAAAGCTGAGTGCCAAAGAATTGATGGTTTTGAACTGTGGTGTTGGAGAAGACTCTTGAGAGTCCCTTGGACTGCACGGAGATCCAACCAGTCCACCCTAAAGGAGATCAGTCCTTTGAATCAGTCCAGTGAATATTTACTGGAAGGACTGATGCTAAAGCTGAAACTCCAGTACTTTGGCCACCTGATGCAAAGAGCTGACTCATTGGAAAAGACCCTGATGCTGGAAAAGATTGAGGGCAGGAGGAGAAGGGGACGACAGAGGATGAGATGGTTGGATGGCATCACTGACTCGATGGACATGAATTTGAGCAAGCTCCAGGAGTTGGTGATGGACAGGGAAGCCTGGTGTGCTGCAGTCCATGAGTCAGTCGCAAAGAGTCGGACATGACTGAACGACTGAACGGAACTTAGAGCCTTTTTTAAAAAGGCTTTCTTGGGGTTTGCTGATATACTCAAATATGTAAGATGATATTTTCATCAAATTTGGGAAATTACTGGGCATTGTTTTTTTAAGTATAGTTCTGCCTCATTCTTGCTCTTTTGGGGGAGTATGAGTTACAACGTTGAATAGTGTCTTAACTGGTCTCTAAGACTCTGTCCATTTTCTTCTGAGAATTTTTTTTTTATGTGGATCATTTTTAGAAATCTTGTTGAGTTTGTTACAGTATTGTTCTTCTGTTTTATGTTGTGGCTTTTTGGCTGCCAGTCCTGTTGGATTCTTAGCTCCCCAACCAGGGATCAAACCCACACCTCCTGCAACCACTGGACTGCCTGGGAAGTCCTGGCTCTGTTCATTTTTTAAAAATCTTTTTCAATATATTCTTCTGGTGGGATAATTTCTATTGATCTGACTTCAGGTTCACTGACTCTTTTTCTGCTCTCCAGTCTGCTGTTAAGCTCAACCAAGAATTTTTTCATTTCAGTTATTACAGAATTTTTGCTGTAATATTTCCTTTTTTTCTTTACTGAGATTCTGTATCTGTTCTCTCATTAGCAATGTTTCCCTTCAACTTTTTGTACATATTTATTTTTGTACTGTAACGTTTGCATTAAGGACTTAGCTGCTAAACCTAGCATCTGGCCCATCTTACATCCTGACTGTGGGTTACCTTCTCCTGTTCCCTGGCGTGAACTGTAGCTGTTTACTGTGTACTGAACAGCGTGGTTGCCGCGCTGTGGGGTCTGTGGGTTCTGTGGGGCCTGTGGGGTCTGTGGGGTCTGTGGGGTCTGTGGGTCTGTGGGGTCTGTGGGGTCTTTGGGGTCTGTGGAGTGTGGGGTCTGTGGGGTCTGTGGGGTCTGTGGAGTGTGGGGTCTGTGGGGTCTGTGGGGTCTGTGGGGTCTGTGGGGTCTGTGGGGTCTGTGGGTCTGTGGGGTCTGTGGGGTCTGTGGGGTCTGTGGAGTGTGGGGTCTGTGGGGTCTGTGGGTCTGTGGGGTCTGTGGGGTCTGTGGGTCTGTGGGGTCTGTGGGGTCTGTGGGGCCTGTGGGGTCTGTGATCTTTTCAGGAAGTGCTGCTTTTTGCTTGCTTTCGTGGGCACTTCAGTTACCGGCTGAGAGGTGGCTCCCTGTTTCCTTGGCTGTCTCTGGAAGGTCATGGTATTTTCCAGCCTGCACCGTGTTCCCTGCAGGCTCTGACGGCACATTCTCTTTGGTGGATCAAGAGCTCTCTTCCTGGGCCCTCACTCCTGGGGAGAAAGCCCGTGCAGTCTCGGCTGACGGGTGAGAGAGCAACACCCAGCTGTCTCCTATCTGGCGGGCAGGCCAGCAAGAGCTGGTCCGGTTCCAGTCCCAGTTCCACTTCTCCAGCCCCGAGCAGAGGCCACCCTCTCTGGACTCCCTGCCCCGGCTCCGTGGGTCCGTACTCCGCCTGCGGTGCCTCAGGACACTGTCTCTAGGAGGCCACAAGCATGGGCCTTTTCTGAGTTTCCGGCTCCAGGGCCCCAGGCTAGCGCTGCCCAGACCTGGGGCTGTTGGGTCCAGCTTCACGCCTGGCAGAGACCTGGTCACCACTGGAAGCAGAGTAGCTCTGAAAATTACTCATTTCGAGTGCTCTTCGTCTGCTCCTGTTGGTCCTGTTGTGGCAGGGGTGGAGCCTCTCTGCGTCTGCTCTGTGTGCTGGCCTCCTCTGCGCGCCTCCTCGAGCCGGGGCCTTGCTGGCTGGTTTCTGGAAGGACTGTTCTGCTGCGCTGCTCTTCAGTCACTCTTGTCAGACTCTTTGTGACCCTAGGAACTGCCGCACGCCCAGCCTCCCTGTCCTTCACCGTCTCCCGCAGCTTGCTCAAACTCATGTCCGTTGAGTCGACGGTGCCATCCAACCATCTCATCCTGTCCTCAATCTTTGCCAGCATCAGGGTTTTTTCCAATGAGTTGGCTCTTCACATCAGCTGGCCAAAGTATTGGAGTTTCAGCTTCAGCATCTGTCCTTCCAGTGAATATCAGAGTTGATTTCCTTTAGGATGGACTGGCTGGATCTCCTTGATGTCCAAGGGACTCTCAATCGGCTTGCCTCAGCTGGCTCCTGGGTGGTTCAGCCCGGGACGGGTCTCACGTTGCGGATTCAGGCTCAGGCTGCCCCTGAGCACACCCCGAGGCCCTGGGCCTGCTCCCTTCTGCGGGCCTCCTCTCTCCCTGCCCCAGAGGGAAGGGACCCGTCACTGGCTACCGCCCAGGCTTCCAGGCAGACGCTGTGGACCCAGTCCCCTGATGGGAGCGCAGACCTCACCCTTGACCTCACCTGGGTGCCTGCTCCTGCCCACGACGCCCAGGTGCCCTGACTGCTGCCTCCTCACCCTCGAGGCCACAGGCCCAGCCTGTGACGTGCTCGCCTTGTTTCGGTGGGGGCTCGGCCCACGAGTCCCCTCGCACTTTAACTGGACCCAAGTCACCGGCCATGCTGATGCTCCTGTGCAGGGCAGGGGCTGTGCGGGGGCTGCAGGTGCTGTAGATGGGAGACTGTTTATTGCTTTAGACGCAGGCGGCTCCAGCAGGGACACAGCGGGAACAAGCGCCAGGCAGGGCCCACAGCCCATGGACGCGTGGCTGTTCTGAGCTGGGATGTGTGAGCCATGGCCGATAAGATGGAGAGACTCAGAGCAGAGCAGAGAGGGCCCCGCCCCCCAAGGCAAAGCCTGGGCCTCAGTTCAGTTCAGTCGCTCTTTGCGACCCCATGGACTGCAGCACTCCAGGCCTCCCTGTCCATCACCAACTCCCAGAGCTTGCTCAAACTCATGTCCATTGAGTCAGTGATGCCATCCAACCATCTCATCCCCTGTCGGCCCCTTCTCCTCCTGCCTTCAGTCTTTCCCAGCATCAGGATCTTTTCCAGTGACTCAGTTTTTCTCATCAGGTGGCTGAAGTATTAGAGTTTCAGCTTCAGCATCAGTCCTTCCAATGAACACCTAGGACTGATCTCCTTTAGGATGGACTGGTTGGATCTCCTTACAGTCCAAGGGACTCTCAAGAGTCTTCTCCAACACCACAGTTCAAAACCATCAGTTCTTCAGGGCTCAGCTTTATAGTCCAACTCTCACATCCATACATGACTACTGGAAAAATCATAGCTTTGACTAGATGGACATGTTGACATTTGTCCATGACTAGATGTTGACAAAGTAATGTCCCTGCTTTTTAATATGCTGCCTAGGTTGGTCATAACTTGTCTTCTAAGGCACAAGCGTCTTTTAATTTCATGGCTGCAGTCACCATCTGCAGTGATTTTGGAGGACCCCAAAATAAAGTCTGTCACTGTTTCCATTGTTGCCCCATCTATTTGCCATGAAGTGATGGGACCAGATGCCATGATCTTAGTTTTCTCAATGTTGAGCTTTAAGCCAACTTTTTCACTCTCCTCTTTCACTTTCATCAAGAGGCTCTTTAATTCCTCTTCATTTTTTGCCATAAGGGTGGTGTCATCTGCTTATCTGAGGTTATTGCTATTTCTCCTGGCAATCTTGATTCCAGCATGTGCTTCCTCCAGCCCAGCAGTTCTCATGATGTGCTCTGCACATAAGTTAAGCAAGCAGGGTGACAATACACAGCCTCGGCCTCAGGCGGCACTGAGCTCACTTGCTGGTGACGCTAGGAGCCCCCGCGGTGCCGGGCACCCTGGCTTTCACGCCTTGGCCGGTTCTGGCACGGACCCAGCTGGCTCACCTTCTGCTTCTCAGCCCTGGCGCACCAGTGGTCCCTGAGATCTCCCGGGGTCCGCAGGGCCCTCCTCTTCGTCCCTCGTGTGGGTCCTGGCAGCAAGGCAGGTGGAAGGCGGGGCTGGAAAGCCCGGCACCACCCCTGACGCTGTCTGCACCCCCAGCCTCGCGGCCCAGCTTCGCTGCCAGGTGCACCTGGAGATGGCGCACATCGAGGAGGACGCGGACCGGCTGGAGCCCGCCATGGAGCACCTGAAGAAGGCCATGCTCCTGGACGGCCTGGGGCTCTACCAGGACAAGATCAGGATGGCCCTCAACCGCCTGCAGCTGTGCACCACGCTGTACCAGGTGCCCGCGCGCGACGAGGACAAGGCCACCATGGCCATTGAGCAGGTGCCGCGGGCTCGGCTCCCGTGCGGGCGGGCCTGTCAGACCCCAGGGGTGGGCGGGGCTCGGCCCCCGTGCGGGCGGGCCTGTCAGACCCCAGGGGTGGGCGGGGCTCGGCTCCCGTGCGGGCGGGCCTGTCAGACCCCAGGGGTGGGCGGGGCTCGGCTCCCGTGCGGGCGGGCCTATCAGACCCCAGGGGTGGGCGGGGCGCCGCTCAGCATGCGGTCTCCCCTCTGCAGGCGAAGAAAGCGATGCCCAAGGACAGCGTGCGCAAGAAGCGGGCGCTGCTGGTGAATGCGGGGCTGGCCCTGGCCCCCGACACCTTCCAGGTCGTGCTCGATGGCGAGAACGAGGCCAAAGGTGCGCAGGTGCTCTCGGTGGGGGCGCCCGCCCACCCGGACCTCCACCTCCATGGGCCTCTGTACCCATGTGCAGCCTCCTGCTCCACTTTTCTGCCCTGACTCGTTGGGGGGCAGGGGGAGCCTGTCTCCTGGGCCGCACGGCCCCGCCCAGCGGGAGGCAGTGGCACCTGTTTCCTTCCTGTCCCGCCAGGTGTGAGGGCCTCGGGCCCTGAAGGGCAGGCACCCCGGGCACACGGGGCTTGGTGCGCTGCACCCAGCGAGGGCTCGGGCAGGAGAAGCGGGCTGACGGGCAAGGGGCTTCAGTGGGGTCTCCACCAGCCAGCTCCTGAAGACCTGGGCATGGGTGGCGGGAGTTGGGGGCCAGCCTGGCAGCTCATGCCACCAGTCATTCTGCCCACCAGCTGCTCTTGGTGCCTGGAGTCCCCTCCCGGACAAGTCACATTTAGCGAGACCTAACTCTCATGAGATCCAACCAGTCCATCCTAAAGGAGATCACTCCTGGGTGTTCATTGGAAGGACTGATGTTGAAGCTGAAACTCCAATGCTTTGGCCACCTGATGCGGAGAGCTGACTCATTTGAAAAGACCCTGATGCTGGGAAAGATTGAGGGCAGGAGGAGTAGGGGCCAACGGGATGAGATGGTTGGATGGCATTGCCGACTCAATGGACATGGGTTTGGGTGGACTCCGGGAGTTGGTGATGGACAGGGAGGCCTGGCGTGCTGCGGTTCATGGGGTCACAAACAGGCGGACATGACTGAGCGACTGAACTGAACTTTCATGAAAAGATGAAAAAATGTCCATGGGAGGCTCTGTCCCACCCTGTCCCGAGTCCCACGTAGGCTGGTTTCGGGAGTGTTCCCTGACTTGCTACATCAGCACCCCATCCCGTTGTCCCCCTGCAGTTTCCACCGGGAAAACCCGGGGCCGCTTCACCTACCTGTTTGCCAAGGCGCGGCACCACACGCTCAGCCTGGACAAGGCGGTGGGCCATCTGCGGCGCCTGGGGGGCCAGAACGACAAGGAGCGGTGAGCGGCCTAGGGGCGTGGGGCCTCGGGTCTGGGGGTACGCTGCGCCGGCCCACCCTCCCCCCACCCTGGGTGGACCCTGGCCGGCTCCCGGAGCAAGCTGTGGCGTGCACATCTGTGCAGGATACACATCTGGGCAGAGCTGGCCAAGGTGGCCCGGAAGCAGAACGTGTGGGACGTGTGCCGGACGGCCAGCCGCTTCTGCCTCCTGTACGACAGCGTCAAGGTGAAGAAGCCGGCCAAGTTCAAGCGAGGTGGGTCCCTCCAGCCGCACACGGGCGCCCGCACTGGCGGGCTCTTCCCAGGCACTGTGGGGTCACTGTGGGGTCCACCAGAGCTCAGGAAGGCGTCATGGGGCTGGACCCTCCAGGCAGAGGCTGGGCGGGAGCGGCCCTCCACCATGAGCACTGGGTCTGGCTGAGTCTGGCCTGCAGGTCCCTGGAAGCGGTGGTCTTGGGGATGGTGAGGACACAGGGGCATGCCAGGGGCCCCAGGGGGCAGAGATGTGGGTGTTGTGGGAGCGATGGGGGCTTCTTGAGGGGCAGAACAGCACATGCAAAACCAAGAGCTGAGCTGTCTGTTAGGGAATCAGCTGGAGGTTCGCTGAGGCCAACCTGGCTTTGGGCAGCCCTCGCCGTCCCTACAGCCCTGTGCTTGGGAGGCCTCCCAGAGACGCTGCCCCTCACCCCGCCCCCCTTCTTGGGGACCATGCCATCACTGAGAAGCACTTCAGGCTCTGACAGGTGGCACCCTGGTGTTGCAGGCAGGAAGAAGAAGGGCTGGGACGGCCCAGGGCTGGACTCCAGGGGCCACTCGGAAGCCACCCTGCAGAAGCAGGCGTCCCCCACGCTGCTGCGCAAGTTCGCGGAGGTGGGCTTCATCAGCGCCGAGGTGCGTCCCCTGTATCTGCACAGACGTGACCCTCAGCATCCAGCCCTGCTCCCCAAGTGGCCTGTCACTTACAAAAGTTTTCCTGCATTCTTGGGAGGTTTTCTGGAAGAAAAATATGTCAAAATGTATGGTGAGGAGTGTTGATATTAATTGTCCTTTGAAGGAGTGTGTGAACTGTGAGTCCCCAGTGATGTGGGTCCCAGGGGCTGGTTGGTACTGGACCTGGGTGTGTCCTGGCCCCGAGTAGCTTCAGTAGCACTTTGAGTCAGGTGTGAGAGAGAAACCTGGCTTCTGATGTCATCTCGGACGCTGCTGGGGAGCAGCCCCCACAGCGAGCCTGGCCCCTTCTGTGAGCACGCGGAGACCCCAGGTCAGCCTGGGAGTGGGGGCCTGTGTGTAGCACGCAGAGACCCCAGGCCAGCCGGGTGGTGCAGCGGGGGGCCTGCACGTGCACGCAGCGGTGAGGCCACTTGGGGTGTTTTCTTTTGGGGGTCGCGGGAGCAACTCAGCGTAACCCAGACAGAAGGCTCCCGGGCTTGGTCAGTGAGGGCCTGCCGGTCACCTCCTGAGGGCTGGGCCAGTGCTGCGAGTGGGGGCAGGTGGGTGGGCCCGGGGCCCCAGGCGAGGCACCCGCCCCCGTTGTCAGTCCTGTCTCAGTTCCGTCGCCCTGCCCAGGGGCCTCGGCCGCCTCCGGGGCGTCTGTGCACGGCCGCAGAGGACGGGGACCAGGGCTCGGTGGCCCCTGAGGCGTAAGGGGCGCGTGTCCTGGGGGGCTGCGTCTCTGAGACGCAGGTGTGTGGGGGAGGACCTGTCCCCTGGGGCAGGGCGGGTCGGGGGTTGGGAAGGCCTGTGGGCACCGTGCCGGCCTCTGCTCAGGGGCCTCTGGCCACTCCGTCCTCCGCAGGCCACTGTCCACCTGCTGCGGTCGGAAGGCGTGCAGCTGAACGACCGGCCCACGCCCCCCGAGGACATGAGCCAGCACCCAATGGGCTACATACCCGAGTGCCCGGAGGACAATGCCGAGTGGATCGTGTACCGGTGGGGGCGCCGCCCGCGGGGCTGGGGGCGCGAGGCGGGGGCTGGGCTGAGCGCCGCGCTGAGAGGCAGGGGCCGCTGCCCGGCATGTCTCGTGGCTCACACCGGGCCCGTGTGGCCAGTCTTTCCTGTCACTAGTGGAAACGGGGTGTGAGGGGGTGGTGGTCATGGGGGAAGCTGTCCCGCGAAGTCCATGATCAGGACGAGGGTCTGCAGGGAACCCGCAGAAACCTCGTCCACATGAGAGGCAAGTGCCATTCAATCAGGAGAGCGAGGTGCTCTCGTAGCAACAGTATTTTGCTGTTTTCGTCTGAAGTGAACGTGGCAGTGAGTGACCGTCCACGGGGCCGTCCTGGGAGCCGAGGCCCTAGCTGCCCACTGACCGCAGGGATGGGTCTGCCCCACTGGCTCCCCTGGTGGCTGGGCCCTCATACGTGCCCGCTGTGGGGGGCCTGCATGCCCTTTGCCCGGGAAGGGCTCAGGGAAGGACCCCAACTCTATGCAGACGGCATTTGTCTGGAGGTTTCAGAGCACAGCCTGGGGCTAGGGCCAGGCTCTCCACAGCTTTTGTACAGCCCGCCAGCTCACAGTGGTTTTGACATTTTTTAGTTTGTGAAACTCAATAGCAAAAAAGACATAACAGAGAAGGGACTGTGTAGCTGTTAAACCCCAGGGTACCTGCTGTCTGGCTCTTTACGATAAAGGTTCACCAAGCCTTGGTCTGAGGCCAGTAGGTGCCCAGTGTCCATGCAGACCGAGGAGGGCGGCCTGTGTGTGATAGGCCAGGGAGACGGGCGCAGGCAGATGTAGAGGTGGACAGGCAGCTTGCAGGCCTTGGTCGGGGGTCCAGCCTCAGACAGGGATGGGCAGGGAGATGGGAGGGCCGGGGGGAGCCAGGCAGGTCCTGTCCTTCAGCAGAAACGACAGGCAGCCCCTGACAGGGCAGCCTTCTGAGCTCCGGCTCCAGGGATGGCTTCTCGGTGGCGTCCGAGTGCCGGCTCAGGCAGAGTCTGGCTCCCGGAGAGCCTGACGGATGCCTCCCGCAGGAACTGGATAGAGGGCCTCTCGCAGCACGCCATGAACTGCTGGCTGCGCTCCGCCGACATCGGGCAGGAGCTCCAGGAGCCGTGGATCGTGCAGAACGCCGTGGTCTACGTGCTGAATCATAACCACCACCTCCTCAAGGCTGGGCGGCAGCGGGAGCTCCTGGACGCCTTGTACCACCTGCTGGGCATCATGAAGGCCGTGGGCCACAGCGGGTGCGTGAGGCTGCCCAGGCTTCGTCCTGCCGCTGCCAGAGACCCTGGGCTTCAGGCTGGGAGCCGGGGGGCAGACGTGCGTCCCCTTGGGGGAGGAGCATGTGGGGCCACCAGCACCCAGCGCCCAGCAGTGATGGGGCTTCTGTCTAACTGGCTGTGTACTCCAGGCAAGACATGTACCCTCTCTGAGCCGCAGGCAGGCACGTGGGGATTGCTTGGGCGCCCTCATGCCCACACGCGGACTCCCAGCCTGTCCCAATCTTTTCCAAGCGGAGGGATTCTGGGAGAGGTTGACAGAGGCCGAGGTCTCACAGAAACAGGGCTGGAAGCTGACCTGGGTCCCTGTGTTTCCTTATCCAGCTGAGAAACGTGAAAGCATCAAGTCAGGTCAAAGGTCAAAGCTTTCCCTCACGGTGACCTAGCTTTTGAAGTCCTCTTTGTGTTTTCTGTTGGTTTGGCTTTTAGTCTAAACACTCAGATGTAAAGGTTTTCGACAGATCTTGAAATAGGCAGGCTCGAGTGAATCAGGACCCAGAGATGTCTGCACATGAGCACACAGCCAGAATGGGCCGTGGGGCAGGGGCCTGCCTGGCACCCTCAGCTCTCCTCTGTGCACAAGACCCCGGCAGGGTCCCCGGGACCACAGGGGTGCTGGGGGGGGCGTGCCTCTCCTTCTCAGGGGGGTGCTGGGGGGGGCGTGCCTCTGCTTCTCAGGCGGGCGTCTGTGTCTGTGCTCATGCAGATCAGGCATGTTTGCTGGTTCTGACGGTTCTGGCACTGAGAGGTTTCAAAGAGAAACAGGGAGGTTCTGGCCCAAGTCCGCTTACCTGGCGCCTGATGGAGGGCCTGCTGGACAGCCCAGTGGTGGGCATGGCGGTCGGGCAGGCCTGTGCGTCCAGGCCCCGTGGACTCCCTGGGGGTCCCGCCCACGCGGCACAGAGGGTGTCCCGCGGCCGGCCGGTCACAGCGCCACGCTGCTCCCCTGGGGCAGCCTGGCCTGGACGCACTGGTCTTGCAGGGACTCGCTGCTGCTGGCGATGCTGTGCAGTGCGCTCGCCCGAGGCCTGATCATCCACTGGATCCCGGCCCTGGTTCCCGAGAAGGCCAGGAAGCAGGCGCGCTCCAACCCACTCCACACGCCGCTGGACCCCGAGGCCGCCTCTGAAGTCAGGGCTGCCGTGGAGGTACCGCCTGGCAGGTGGGGTGGCGCGGGGAGGGCAGCTGAGGCAGTGAGCCTGGGGGCTTCTCAACTTTCCGGAAATGGGGCTTGGGGCTGGGGGCTGGGCGGGATGTGCTTTCTCTAAAAATGAGGACTCTGTAGGGTCAGGGACATCCCTGCATGGCCCAAACCGCAGAAAAATGCGATGTGAGGCTGGAGAGCAGGGCCGGTGCGGTTCAGAGTGGGACGCTGCAGAACGAACACAAAGTACGGACCCCGGTCACCGGCGGTTCCACAGTGACCGGGGCGGGGGGACGTTTGTCCCCTGACTTTACCTCCTGGTGACATGGGCTGTGGGTGGCCATCCCGGTCAAGGAGGATGGATGTTGATGGTGTTGACCAGCCCAGAGCAACACCTCCTGCAGGAATACGAAGACCACCTCTGCCCCCTGCTGCGGGCCCGGCCGTAACATAGGACGGGGAGAAAGGACAAAGGAGCCGCCGTGTCACGCTGCGGGGGCGCCTGGGCCCTGGGAAAGCCAGGCCGGCTGCATGTCTGGCAGGGATGGCAGAGCTGGGCGGAGTGGGTGAGGGCTCAGGCAGAGGACAGAAGGCAGCCACTTGTGAGGCTCCAGGGATCCCACCAGATAGGGAGGGGTGAGCCTGGGCTGCCCTTGCTGGGGCCTCTCCAGTGGCTTCCAGACTGTCCAGGAGAGCAGGGTATGAGGCACGACTGTTCTGTGGCTGGGTATCCGTCAGGAAGGGCCAGGCCAGCGTGCCCACGGAGGGCAGGTGGCTGCATCTGGGATCAGCTGCCCTCTGCTGTGGGGCCTGATGGAAGGGGTCTTCCCAGGCAAGCCCAGGAAGGGGGTGTCCTCAACCAGGCTGCACAGGAACAACAGGGGTGGACCTGTCAGCCCCCTGGGTTTCTGAGCTGCAGGGTCCTGAGCGGTTCACGAAAGACAGGTGTTCATGTTACACTTTAGGGGAAAAATGAAACCTCAGAAAACATGGAGCAAAATGGGGCCCATGGTTAGTTCCTGGCATGGTGGCTCCAGGGGCCAAGCCTGTGACAGGTGATGGGGTTCCACCGCCAGTGAAAGACAGGGAACCAAGGCCTCATTCATGCAGGCGGGACAGGGAGCTCAGTCCTGGCTGTGCAGCCCCCAGAACCAACATCAGCCACTGTGTCGAGGCCAATGGGGACCTGATGGCAACACCAGGTCTGGTGGGCTCACCGCAGGGTGAGGGCACGAGAGGACGCAGCCGCAGCCGCCGTGCCTCATCGCCTCAGGACTTGGCCTGTTTGGACCACTTTGCCGGCTGGACCGAGAGCCAGGTCCACTTGTATTTGCAGATGGGGTCTTGGCCCGGGTTCCCTGTTTGGATTCAGGTGTTGTGAACAAGAGCCCCTCCATTTCAGATCTGCGAGTTTGCCCTGAACCTGACCAACGGGCTGGAGCCCGAGGAGGTGGTGCCCCTGAGTGCTCGGCAGCAGCTCATTGCCACGTGGGTGAAGGGCAAGCAGCTCCTGCAGCAGCAGATCGGGCCACGGCTGGGCACGGAGGAGCAGGTGCTTTGAGCAGCCTGGGGGCGGGGCCGTGCTGGGGGCGGGGCGGGGCCGTGCTGGGAGACTTCCCGGCAGGAGCTCTGTCCTCGCTGGGGCTGCCACCCCTAGGGATGGGGCAGAAGGCCTCCTCGAGCTGCCTGGCCGCAGCCTCCCCTCCTTCCTCCAGCCGATGGCCGTGGTTCTAACTGTCCACCAAGAGTGCTGGGCTTCTGGGACTGTCCACCCGCTGATACCTCATTTTGGCTTATCTGGAGGTGCCTCCAGGTCACAGGGGGCGCCCCCTTGTCAGGGCCTTGCAGCCCCTGAGCCGTGAGCAGAAGACCACGGGAGTGAGGGGTGGGGAGCAGCCGGGGACCCAGCAGACGGGGCTGGGACATGGATGGAGCCCACGGGAGGCTCCCTCGGCCCGGCTGGAGCCAGGACACACTGCTTCAGGTGGGAAGTGAGGCTGGCGAGAGTGTGGCCCTCAGGGAGGGGCATCTGATCTCGGCAGGAGCAAGCGTGGATTGGAGCTGGTTCAAGGGGGTGGCCCGCCGGCACAGGGCTACCTGCTGTGCCTGGCCAGTTGCCCTCCACATCTGGCCGGGTCAGTTAGCTGCCCAACCACCTTAGGGCTGCAGTGCCTGCTCCCGCTTATCTCATGAAAAGATAACTTGGAGACAGGAAGGAAGGAAGGGAAGGGAAAGTTGCTCAGTCGTATTCCACTCTTTGTGACCCCAGGGACTATACAGTCCATGGAATTCTCCAGGCCAGAATACTGGAGTGGGTAGCCTTTCCCTTCTCCAGGGGATCTTCCCAACCCAGAGATCGAACCCAGGTCTCCCACATTGCAGGCGGATTCTTTACCAGCTGAGCCACAAGGGGAGTCCTTGTGGCTCCCGTCATTGCCAAGTGTTTTGCTTCCCTCGTAGATCAGTCGGTAAAGAATCCGCCTGCAATGCAGGAGACCTGGGTTTGATTCCTGGGTTGGGAAGATCCCCTGGAGAAGGAAATGGCAACCCACTCCAGTATTCTGGCCTGAAGAATCCCGTGGACAGAGGAGCCTGGCAGGCTCGGGGTCATAAGAGTTGGGCACAACTTAGCGACTAAACCATCTTGGAGACAGACTTTCACGCTAACAGCTCCTGTTGTCGCCGAAGAGCTGCTGTGTCTCAGGGCTCACGTCCCCAGCATTCCAGGCTCTGCAGCGCCCGGGCCTCATGGGCCCTCTGCCTTCCTCCCACCAGAGCACCAACGAAGACATCAGCTCCATGACCAGAGTTCTCGTCGCCCTGGAGATGTACTCCTGCAATGGGCTGGGCCTCATGGACTTCACTGTGCCCCCCTTAGCCCAGGTAGGTGTCCCCCCACCCTAGGGGTGCCACCTCCTCCCGCAGATGTGTCACCTCATATCCCACAGCTGTCCCCTCCCCCACAGGTGTCCCCTCCCCCACAGGTGTCGCCTCCTGCCACAGATGTCACCTCATATCCCACAGCTGTCACCCCACCCTCCAGGTGTCACCCCTCCCCCAGGTGTCCCCTCCCCCACAGGTGTCCCCTCACAGCCCAGCTGTCACCTCCCCACAGGTATCACCTCAGCCCCTCAGGTGTCCCCTCCCCCACAGGTGTCCCCTCACAGCCCAGCTGTCACCTCCCCACAGGTATCACCTCAGCCCCACAGGTGTCCCCTCCCCCACAGGTGTCCCCTCCCAGCCCAGCTGTCACCTCACAGCCCAGCTGTCACCTCCCCACAGGTATCACCTCAGCCCCTCAGGTGTCCCCTCCCCCACAGGTGTCCCCTCCCCCACAGGTGTCCCCTCACAGCCCAGCTGTCACCTCCCCCACAGGTATCACCTCAGCCCCTCAGGTGTCCCCTCCCCCATAGGTGTCACCGTCCTCCCCCCAGCCCAGGTCGGTGTCACTGGGTGTCTGGTGGGCATACCCAGGGGCTGTGCCCTGACAACCTACCGACTCCGGTTGGTTATTTGAATCTTGTTGTTGAGACAAGGACCCGGGTCGAGGGCCTAGCCCTGCGGCTGGAGTCCCACCCGTGTGTAAAGCGCAGCACTCACCCGCCTCCCAGCAGCACCGAGGTTCCCTCAGGGCCTCCGAGTCTGGTTTCCTGAGAAACCAGACTGTGCTTTTCTGTGCTTCTCCACACTCCGCCCAGGGCCGGGCCGCCCGTGTGGCAGGAAGGCAGTGTGGACACTGCGACGTTTGTCCCCGACCTGCCAACCCACCCGGGCTTGGCCGAGGTTGGCAGCTAGAGCTTCACCCTCATGGGTGGCTCAGCCAAGACCAAGTGACCAGTGGACCCGGGGGAGGTCGGCCTGCGTGTTGGCAGCAGAGACACCCCCCACTCACAGACACCCCCTCCTCCACGCGGACAGCTGGTGAAGATGGCCTCAGAGTGCACCTGGTCCGACCTCCTGGTGGAGCTGCAGACCCTGATGCGGCTGACCCACTTCACCTACATGGCCCGGGACCATGAGGCCACCATGGCCTGCTCAGAGAAGGCCATCCAGATGGGCATCAAGTACCTTCGGACCTTCAATCCGTGAGTCATCCCGCGCCTGACCTGTACCCCCATGGTGAGGCACCTCCACCGGGGCTCACCCCCCACCAGTCAGGCCCCACAGCCGCCCCGTGCCTCCCATCCCCATGTTCGCCAGGGCGACACCTCATCCGGGGGCCCTGGGAAGCCGTGCTCAGCCGCATCCTGGGGGCAGAGAGGTGGGAAGGGTCTCACAGCTCAACCCATGACGCCAGAGAGGGAGCTTCATTTAAAGTGGTTTTGGGCTGGTGACTTAGGAGGCCAAATAAATTCAGAAGTAATTAAATGGTGATTACAGGGAAAGGAAAATGTCCCCTGCCCCCAACCTGGCTCCTCTCTACCTGGGTGCTGCCTGCAGCCTGCTCCCCAGGGCCCCCGGGGCATCTGGACGCTCCCTCAGAGCCTCGTCTGTGGCCCTGTACCCCAGGCTTCCTTCAGCTCGTAGGTAGTAAGGGCACTCAAGTCTTCTCTCTTCGCTATCATGAGCACTTCTGCTGTAAAGACTGTTTTCCTTGCGGCTCTTCTCTTAGACTTATTCTGAGTTTATTTCCTAAAAGAGGGGGTCCTGGACCCCCAGTCAGGAAGTCGCCCATTGTGGGAGCACAGTTGGGCTGGTAGTGCAGGGCCGGATTCAAGACTTTGCTTGTGAAAGATTTCCAGACGCCGCGTCCTGGCCTCACGGCAGGGTGAGGCGCATCAGATGGGGCCAAGGGCTCAGGGAAGATGGGGGGGCGGCCAGCCCAGGTGCCTGGTGAGGGGAGACAGAGAAGGCGCAGGGGTAACACACAGAACACCCGGTTGCCCGGCAGGACATCTGACACCAGGCAGGGACTTGGAGTTCTTCTCAGAAGTCTTCCTGGGGTTCCCCGCCAGGCACTGGTGTCTGCTGACCACTGTAAAGCTATGCCCATCAGCAAATAAGCCACATTTATCATGCATGAACTGAGGTTTCTAAGAGTTTTTAAAAGATTTCAGCTTTAAAGAGAACACCAACATGAAGAAATAGGGAAAATTGCTTAGGATGAGAGTGCCATAATAATATAACGGCCAGCTATCTCCCAGGAAAGGCAGGCAGGTTCAGGGAACAGCAGAGGAATTGCACTTAGGGAAATGCAAACTTTGGTGGACGACAGGAAATCCAGAAAATAAGGAGGGGAGCTTGCTTTTATATGGAAAAGGGGGTGTCAGGAGGGCCTGCAGTGACCGGAGTCATTGGAGGAGCTGGGGGTCTGAAGTGAAGAAGGCTTCCTTTTGGCTGGCTGTGACCGTCTCTACTGGCTGGGCTTTCAGAGAGCGGGAGGGGCGGAGGCACTTTTTCTGCTCCATCTGGACAGTAAGTAGAGGCATCTGTCTGGGCCGTGTGGTGGGGGCGCCCTCCCATCTGGGGCATGTGGGCGGGGAGCCTCTCTGTCTGGGGCGTGTAGGCAGGGCGCCTTCCTGTCTGAGGTAACTGAGGTGCGTGGCAGGCATGGGACCTCCCCCACAGGCCTGGCCCAACTCAGCTGTGCTTGAGGCCTCTGTGATTCATTCCACATATTGTATGATGATCTGAATGAACATTAAAAAAGTAAATAACTTCTAATATCTTGAGAAGATGTAACATTTAAAAATTAAAATGTAGTATTGTGGAAAAGGAATAAGGAGCAAAAGGAAAAGGATTAAAGACCTCTTGAAAATTAGAAAGGTAATTTCTGAAGTTGGAAATAAAGTCAATGAAGAACTGGAAGATGAAATGTGAGGAAATCTCTCAGAAAATAAATGAAGAAGGACAGACAGAAAACAGAGAAAAGCCAGAGGAAGTATGGGAACTGTACTGGAGATCCAAGACCCAACTATTGGGATTACAGGTTGAGGGAGGAAAGAGTTCTTAAGAAAGGAATTTAAAAGAGTGGTGCAGGAGAGTTCCCTGAGCAGGGGACACCCTCTCACGACTGACTCTCCAGCCCTTTGACCAGTGAGAAGAATGAAGGGATACTTGCATCCAGATGCATCACAGGATAGTCAGGTCATAAGAAGGCTATCCTATAGCTTTTAGAAGGAAGCAATCTACAAAGAAGTAGGAAATAGAAATGCAACAGTCTTCTCAGGAATCATCACTTGAAGCTAAAAGAAACTGGAGTGGTCTAAGTGGAAGTAGATTTCAACATGTAATTCTAACTCACCCAAACTTTCAGGCATCCGGATAAAAAAAGTTACTTTTAAACAGAAAATGTATTTGCCATACATCTGTTTCTAGAAAGTTACTTGAGGATACAATCTGGAAAAAGGAGGGAGTAAACCAAAAAAGAAAAAGATGTTGGATGCTGCAAATAAGAGATTCAATCCAGAAAAGTTGCCCAGCTTTGCTGCTGGCTGAGGGCCACCTCAGCCAGGATGTAGGGGCAGGACCAGAGGAGGAAGAAGGGAGAAAAGGCAATTGGAAATGCCAGAAAACACGAAAGTAATATACAGCTTGACTCTTCAGTGAAACACGTTGACATTATCATGGTGTTTATTGATATTTCTGTGTTAGGACTAGCATTTTGACAAGGAAGATTTACCCATGGTTACCCAATAAAATGTAAGGGTTACCAATTTTGACAGCACAAAAATACAGTGAAAGCACAGCTAACATATTTTAGCAGTGGGAAGAGGGAGAGAACAGGTGTAAGACCCGCATCTGGGGAGCTGAGGAGTGGGCCGTCACTTGAGGGTCTACAGGATACTCCGAGGTACAGAGATAATAAATGGGGGAAATAAAAGTGATGCCAGGGCCAGTTGTGTTAGTGAGCCAGGAAAAGTGCAGAAGGACGGTCTGAGGAGGCCATACTCTGTGTTTGCCCTGGTGAGGCTTCTGTCAGTTATGTGTAAAATTCACAAACCGGGAAACTGAGAAGGAAGCCCCTTTTTGGAGAGAAAAATGTATCCACTCGAAGACAGAGCCGAAGATTGGGGTCAGTTCTTGCTGGGAAGCAGACTGGGAGCTGGGTGGAAAGTTCTTAACCACGTAGTATGTGCCACCTTGATAAAAATTCAGAAGCTAATTTTAAAAGAAAGGAAAAGCTGGGTGAAGAGCTGCATCGTCTCCCGGGATTCATGAGGCTGACGTCCCCGCACGGCGCAGGCACAGCAGGGCTTGTCAAGGACCAGAGTGGCACCAGCCGGTCCACCTTGGTTTCGTCAGTGGTTCTTAAATTGAGTTCTGTTTTGAAACAGCAGTTCCTAGCCTAGTAAAAGAGGCTATAAATATCAATGTTTACATATGGTAATAAGAGAAAGGGCAGGTGGCATGAGACGGAGTGAGATTTTCACTTAGGCCTCTGAGAGTGCATTGGTAGACTGCTGCTGCCCCCTCGCGGCGGGCGGTGGCACTGCACTCAGTGGGGTCACCGCTCCCGCGGCTTGACCGCGGACTAGACCTTTCTCTCACCCACAGCACCGCTGTCTCCAGGCCAGCCGCTGGGCGCTGGGAGGCTGGAGAGGCAGAGGCCAGCGGTCTCTTCAGGGTGCCACACCTCACGTGGTCCTGCTGGCCGCTCAAAGCCCTGTCCCTGGCCCCAGTCAGCAAGATGCACAGTCAACTTCAGCCCTGTGGCATGTGCTACAAACGATTCACCTTAAAAAAAAATATATATATATATATATATACACACACATATACTCACACACATACATATATACATACATGTTTCAAATTTTATGCTATTTTTCTATTTTGCAAGTTACATAAAGAAACTTAGTGTGGAATTGGTCACAGAGTAATTTTTATGATAGCATTTCACAACAATACTGCAAATAGTTTTCAGATCTTGGTGAAAAATAGTGCAGTTACTAGTCAACTAGTATTCTCACATGGACACATGACACACAGTGGATCTCATATGGTTGTGCTCTTTGCGGCCCCATGGATGGCAGCCCGCCAGGCTCCTTCGTCCATGGGACTCTCCAGGAAAGAATCCTGGAGTGTGTTGCCATGCCCTCCTCCAGGGCAAGTGTGTAATTACCAGAATCAGTTTCATGTTTATACTATTAATGCAAAATATAAACTTCACATAGATCCCTAAAGTGAACCAACATAGGTTACCTTTCTACTTTGTTTAGCATTTTTATTTAACATAATCATTATCACTGTTGGGTCTTTAAAACTTGATAAAATACATGAAACATCTGTTTCCAGACACTGACCAGCAGATGGCCCAAGGCGGCACTTCCTGCAGGAAGAGACCATCAGACGTGAACCCCACACACAGCCTCTGCCTGGGGTTGGGGGACAGGGAGGTGGAGGAGCCCAGACAGAGGAAATGCTCAGGGGGCCAGAGATCAAAGTTGGGGCCTGCTGGGGCAGCTGACCCCACAGGATGCGGGGGAAGAAGAGGTTCTTGGGGAGAGAAGGCGCCAATGCATGCCTGGCAGAAGCAAGTGACAGAGATGAGGGAGTCCCTGTGACTCCCGGGAGTTGGGGAGCGCCCACTGAACCTCTCCTATTCAGGAAGGGCAGGCCTTGGGGCAGGGCCGTCAAGGGTTCTGCGAGACCTCCCCTAAGAAGCCTCACCCAGATCTCAGTCGGACAAGGATGAGCCACAAGGAAATCCACTGGCTGCCGGCTGCCAGAGTGAAACCCAGTCTCTCTTTAAAGGAGGCTGTCTCAGCCACGCTCTGAACAATACAGCCCCCATCCCCAGTGCCCAGCATAGCAGCAAAGGTTGCTAGACACATGGAAAAATGAGAAAACGTGTGGCCCAGGAGAAAAAGCAGTCAGCAGACTCAGACGTGACACAGGTGTTGGAGTTAGCAGGCGATGCACTTAAAACAGTGATTATAAATACAAGAAAGAAAGGGTTTTGACAGACAAATTAGTGTATAGGTGAGGAATTTCAACAAAGAAATGGGAACTATAATAAAGAACTAGGGAAAATTCTGGAAGTGACAAGTATGATCTCTGACATGGACACATCACTGGGAGGGCCTGAACACTGGCAGCAGACTGTGGAAACCGAAGCACAGGAGGAAAGGCCTGGAAAACAGGAGCAGCGCCTTCGGGGGAGGGGCTGCAGCGGCACAAGTGCAGGTGGGCTTGGAAGGTCAGAGGCCAGAAAGCAAGGTAGAAATTGTCTCGAATTAAAGATGTCAACATAGAGGTCCAGGATTTTCAGTGAACCCCAAGCAGGATAAACATATAAAGGATACCGCACCTATATTTATTGTAGTCAAATCGCTGGACTACACACTCAGAGGTGACAGGAAAACCCTGAAAGGAAGGTGGAAGGGAAACAGACACATCACACACAGGGATGAGACCCAAGTTCTCATTGGGAGCAATGTAGCCAAGTGGTAGAAAAGAAAAAGCTTGGTTGGTCTAGAACTCTATGTACACCAAAAATAGTCTTCAGTAAATGAAGGCAAAATAAAGACATTTTAGACTAATTAAAACTAAGGGAATCCATCCCCAGGAGAGCCAGCGCGGAACAGTGTGCTCAGGAGGTTGTCCTGCCTGAAGGAGGGTGGTCCCTGATGGGAACTCCACTCAGGAAGCAGTGACAAACGCTGAAATGGTGGACGCGCGGCTGCGCGTTCTGTTCTTCCCCCCTTCAGTTCCTTAAAAGACACTCGACTGTGAGCTGTGCTAAGTTGCTTCAGTCGCGTCTGACTCTGTACAACCCCGTGGACTGTAGCCCACCAGGCTCCCCTGTCCATGGGATTCTGCAGGCAAGAAGACTGGAGTGGGTTGCCATGCCCTCCTCCAGGGCATCTTCCTGACCCAGCGATCAACCCCACATCTCTTATATCTCCTGCATCAGCAGGCAGGTTCTTTACCACTAGCACCACCTGGGAAGCCCTTAAAAGGCACATGCTGTTTTAAAAACAAATATATGCTGTGCCATGAGATTATCGACAAATGTGGAAATAAAGTGTGTGATGGTGACCACACAGAGGGTGGGCTTGAGAGACGCCCGTGTGGTGGTGTCCTGTCATCCGTGCAGTGATGTGACATCAGTTCACCAGACTGTGATTAGTGAAGGGTGTACACTGCGATCACTCAAGCAAGTTCCCCAAACACAGTAAAACAAACGCCTATAATGGAAAACCCAATACAGAAGATAAAGTTGGATGCTAAAAAATATTCAATTAATCCAAAAGGGGGTGGAAAGAAATAGAACATATTAGACAAAAGGCAAACAGCAGAAGATGGAACCTGACCGCACCAAAAAAGGTGTTAAAAGCGAACAGACCAACACTCCAGGTACAATGCAGAGGTTATCCCACTGGATACAAAAAGCAAGACCCAACTGAGGTCATTTTCAAGAGAGACTCTCCAAATACAAAGACACAGAGGAACAGTTTAAGGGGGCAGAGGATGGACTCTGCCAGCCTCAGGTGTAAGAGCACTGGTGGGGCTGTAGGAAGCGCGATCAGAGAAAAGCTTCAATCAGCAAGAAAATGTAAAATCTCAAGTGTGCACATGCTTAATGGCAGAGCTTCAAAATTCAAAAAGCAAAATATTAGACACAGTCACAATTACAGCTGTAGATTTCAACATTCCTCTCCAGCGGTGGACAGAACAAAAGAACACTCGGCAGATCACCCAACTGTCCTTGACCGACTCTCCAAGACCCTGTCCTGGTCTTCATGTCTCCAGGACACCAAGGCCCGCTTGGGCGGGCTCTCCCCCACCTCCTGGGGGACGGAGCCAGCTTGCCATTCATCCCGAGAGTGGACTTGACCAGGCCCTGTAGACCCTGATCCCTGCAGGCCAAGGAGCAGCCTCCTCCTCCCCTGGGCTCCTGATGGAAAGGGTGGCCGAGCAGCTGGCAGCTCCTGCAGTCAGGTGCCTGCCTTCCGGGTGTCCCGGGCCGTGGGGAGGTGGGTCTGCCCAGGAGCCAGTGCTTTTCTCCTGGAGAGAGTCTGGTGCCCCGGGGCCAAGCTGCAGGAATGCACGTCATGTGAGTGCTCGAGCCGCCACTCAGCTGAGAGGAGCGTGCTCGTGGCCCCTGGATGTTGCAGAGTCCGAGCTGTAGGCTCTTAGTTGTCAGCGCAGAGGCAAGGCCGCTGAAGAAGTCATGCTCTGCGGCGCTGGGGACAGGGTCCCCTTGCTCCCGCAGGGCCGGACCTCACCTGGGGCGGGGCCTCCTCCCGTTCACATTGCCACGCATTCAAACATCCGTTTCTAATTCTGGCTCATGGTTCTGCGGGTTGGCTGTACTCAGCGGTTAGTTCTGGTTCGGGGATGTTCACAGGCTTACTCTGGACGCCCCCAGCACCCTCCCCCACCAGGCGGCTGCTGGGGCCCTCCCTGTCGCAGCACCTTCCTCCCCGCGGAGCCTCCTGTGAGCCGGCGCTTGTCTGTCTCCAGGGTGGAGGTTCAGCTGCTGGCAGAGATGCTGAGCTTCGTGGCCTGCACCCAGGGAAGGAGCATCATGGAGAACCTCAAGGGGAGGAAGCAGTTGCGCCTGGCGGCTGCCAAGGCCTTCATCGAGAGTGCCAGGTGCGCCTTGGCTCTCGAGGACCACTCACCGTGGGTGGAGATGTGGGGACCACGGTGCATGGTGAGGCCCACCCCTCCCCGGGGGCCCTGTGGCCAGGGTCATCTCCTGCCCCGTGCAGTGACGCCCAGTCCACCCCCAGGGTCCCGGGCAGCATGAGCGGCTGGACCGGGACGGGCCCAAGAAACCGGGAGCGGAGGGTGGTGCGGGGTCACAGCGTGACTGCCAGGGAGGAGCCTGTCCAGGCCCTGCAGAGGCGACCGGGGCCCCCACCCCCAGCGCCACTCTAGGCCAGGCCTTCCCCGCAGGTTTGCAGGCATCGCAGGGAGCAGCGCCCTGGTGATGCTGGCCGCCAGGCACTTTTGGAACACCTGCCTCCCGCTGCTGTCCTCCCCGGGCAGCCGGAAGAAGTGCAAGAGCGCCACCCAGAGGATCATCAGCGTCATCAACAAGACGGAGGCCAAGAAGCAGGTGCGGGCCGCCTCTCGTCCCGCTGCCTCCTGGGGAAAGGCGGCGCCGCGGAGCCACGAGGGCGAGGGACGCGATGGCCGCCTGGGGGCGGGGGGAGTGGCATCGCTGCGGCCCAGCAGGCAGGTGCACCGAAAGCTCTAGTGTGAGAGGAGAGGAGGCAGGCTGGGGGCACAGACCACCCAGGGCCCAGGGAGGCGCCCCGAGGCGGGGAGGTGTCTGGGGACCTCGGGGCGCAGCTTCCCAGCTGCCTGGTGGTCGTGTGGCAGGGTGGTCGTGGCCCCGGGAAGGGCCCTTGACCGGAGGCCTCAGTGACCCTCACGGGGCAGCGCGCTGGCTGCGACTGTCTCATGGCTTTATTGTGTGGAGGGCTTCCCCCACTCCTGGTTTTCTGGGAGACGTGATGAAATGTTTCTGGATTTCGTCAAGTGCCTTTTCTCCATCAGTTGAGATGACGGTTGGTTTTCTCCCTTTCTCCTTATATTAACACGATGCATTCTTTATGTGGACCTAGCCTGTGTCCCTGGGGCAGAGCTCACTTCCATCAGTTGAGATGACGGTTGGTTTTCTCCCTTTCTCCTTATATTAACATGATGCATTCTTTATGTGGACCTAGCCTGTGTCCCTGGGGCAGAGCTCACTTGGTCATGGTAAATAATGTTTTACCGTATTGTTGGATTCAATTTGCAATTCGGCAGCATATTTTGTTGAGAATTCCTGCCTCTATATTCATAAAGGATATTCATCTATCATTTTCTTTTCTTATGATGTCTTTATCTGGACCCCCTGTCAGAGTAATGCTGGTCTCATAGAATGAGTTAAGAGCTGTTCCTTCCTCTTCAGTTTTTTGAAGAATTGAGAAGGGTCAGTGTGATTCTTTTTTAAAATGTTTGGTAGAATCCACTTTTGAGGCCATCTTGTCGAAGAATTTTCTTTATTGGGAGGTTTCTGATTACTGATTCAGACTTTACTGTTAGAAGTTTGTTGAAATTTTTTATTCCTTCTTGAGTCAGCTTAGGTGATTTGAGTGTTTGGAGGGATTTCTCCATTTCTTTTATGTTATTTAGTTTGTTGGAATAGAATTGCTAGTTGATTGATAGTCTGTTGATATGGCAGCTTTTTTTAATCACTGTAGGGTTGATACTGTTATTTCCACTTTCATTTCTGACTTTAGTTATTTGTGTCTTCTTTCTTTCTCTGTCAGTCTAGCTAAAGGTTTGTCCATTTTGTTGATCCTGCATTTTTTTCCTGTTATTTTCTGTGCTCTATATTTAATAACTGCCCCTCCCAACTTCAGATTTAGCTCTTTTTTTTTTCACATTCTTTAAGGTGTAAAGTTATATTGTTGGTTTGACGTCTGTCTTCTTTCTCAGTGCTGGCGTTTGCAGTAATGATCTTCCCCTGAGCCCTGCTTTTGTTGTGTCCCGTGAGTTTTCCTAACGTGCTCTTGACCCCGTTGATTCGAAGCTATAAAGCTGCCTCGGATGCTTCGTGGCGTTAGGAGCCATAGCCTGTGTTGAGGGGCTAGTCTGTGCGTGTGTGTGTGCCTGCGTGTGCATTGGTTCTAAGTCAGTGAGCCTCGAACTGGAAAAAATGTGACTCCCCTTCTTGGGACTTAATATTTCGGAAATTTAGCTGTGATTTCCATAATTTGATATGGAGCCAAATGAAAAACAAACTGATGAAATAATAAGCTGCAGCTTTGACGTCTGTGTTGTTAATGTTTTCACTTTAGGAGAAAGGGGGAGCACTGCTTTTGCACCAGTGGCCCACGGCCGACTTCCAAAGTGGAGGGATGACGGAAGGGAATTTCCTCCCAGGTTTGTAGGCTGGGAAGTGCCCATGCTTTTAGATGCTTTTAGTCTCTGTAGAGCTGGCAAAGTCACGGCCATGAGCACAGGTGGCGCCAGTCCAGCACTGAACACAGGGTGGGCTCTGGCGGGCCCTTTGCAAACAACCAGGGACCCCCGCTGTGCTCATGGGGAAACCAGCCCGGATGCCTCTACCCTGGGTCTCCCGGGGAAACCAGCCCGGATGCTGCTACCCTGGGTCTCCCGGGGAAACCAGCCTGGATGCCGCTACCCTGGGTCTCCCAGGCAGCCCTGAGGTCTGCTCTCCAGGTTATTCTGGCAGGCACCTCCCACTTCTATAGCCCCAGAAACGTGGAGATACATTTCTGAGGGGAAAAGTGATCTTAAAGCAGTAAATACTTTATAATTTATTTCTAAGATAAGACGACTGTCTGCTAAAAAATAGAGTGGCCCATCCTTGTTCGTGTGGGGGCCGAGGGAAGGCTGGGAAGGCTGAACACGTGGATTCGAGCAGCAGCCGCTCCCTCAGACGCTGCAGAGTCTGTGAGAGAGAAACTCTGGTTTAAAATCGTGAACATGGATGTGACTGTGCGTAATTATTAAGCTGGGCGCTAGACCCGGCAGTTGAGACTGTTTGCTGGTGCAGCCGGGGGAGACGCGGACGGCGGCCCAGACCCTCAGGACCTGCGGGGGGCCGGGCTGCGGGGGAACCTGCACTGCCCGCACCCCACGCCCTGGCAGCACTTCGCTCCACGTGCTGAAATGTACGTCAGATGGCTCCAGTGTTAGCGGCTGTAAAAGTTCAAATTATGGGGAAAACGAAAAAGGAGAATTGAGCAGGGTTTTGAGGAAAGATTCCTTCCTAAAGTTTAGAGTGGTCAAAAAGGCACACTTACAGATACATGAAAATGTAAATGATGAGAGAATAATGAGAAATGCAGGAAATTAAAAAGCGAACACTGCAAAGGTATTTGCATCCAGTTCGGCAGCTAAATGGTACACTTCTGTGATGCCTGAGTAGTTGCACCAGTCAGCTGAGGCAATGCCGAGCTCGTAACAAATAGCCCTGACTGTGAGGAGCCTTCTCGGCCGAGGCATGTGGTTCCACGTTGGGCTGGCTGGGGTGTGGGGAGAACCCTCACGGTTCCTGAGTGTCAGACATTGACCAGGTTATCTGGTCATGAGCCTAAATCCACCTGCTCCTGTGAATTCCGTCCCACGCTGACGGGAGGGGGGCGGGGGGAAGGGGAGCACAGGAGCCCTCGGGGCCTGGGGGTGGGAGTTGCTGCTGTCCTCTTAGCCGGCAGGCGGATGACATGCTGGCAGGGTCCTGGGCATGTCCTCCCCTTGGCTATAGTGATTCGAACACAGGAAAGAGAGCTCCATGGTCACTGGTGTGAAACAGGACAGCCTGAGCATCTGGGACCAGCTGTGGGGACTCTGCTTCGATGGGCAGTGGGGCTGCGGCCACGTCACTGCTTCATTGACTACACCAAAGCCTCTGACTGTGTGCATCACAACAAACTGTGGATGATTCTTAAAGAGATGGGAACGCCAGGCCACCTGACCTGCCTCCTGAGAAATCTGTGTGCAGGTCAAGAAGCATCAATTAGAACTGGACATGGAATAACAGACTGGTACAAAATTAGGAAAGGAGTACATCAAGGTTGTACATTGTCACCCTGCTAATTTAACTTATACGCAGGGTACATCATGAGAAATGCTGGACTGGATGAAGCACAAGCTGGAATCAAGATTGCCGGGAGAAATATCAATAACCTTAGATATGCAGATGACACCACCCTTATGGCAGAAAGTGGAGAAGAACAAAAGAGCCTCTTGATGAAAGTGAAAGAGGAGAGTGAAAAAGTTCGCTTAAAGCTCAACCTTCAGAAAACTAAGATCATGGCATCCGGTCCCATCACTTCACGGCAAATAGATGGGGAAACAATGGAAACAGTGACAGACTTCACTTTTTTGGGCTCTGAAATCACTAAAGATGGTGACTGCAGTCGTGAAATTAAAAGATGCTTGCTCTTTGGAAGAAAAGCTATGACCAACCTAGACAGCACATTAAAAAGCAGAGACATTACTTTGCCGACAAAGGTTTGTATAGTCAAAGCTATGATTTTTCCAGTAGTCATGTGTGGATGTGAGAGCTGGACTATAAAGAGAGCTGAGCGACAGAGAATTGGTGCTTTTCAACTGTGGTGTTGGAGAAGACTCTTGAGAGTCCCTTGGACTGCAAGGAGATCCAACCAGTCCATCCTAAAGGAGATCAGTCCTGAATATTCATTGGAAGGACTGATGTTAAAGCTGAAACTCCAATACTTTGGCCACCTAATGTGAAGAGCTGACTCATTGGAAAAGACCCTGATGCTGGGAAAGACTGAAGGCAG